TATTCTCTTGTCCTTCTCGTGCTTTATGAAATCTATTATTCAGTTAAAGGTCAGGCATGGGCATTGAAGAAAGATTCTAGACATGTCAACAGTCTGGGGCTTCTTGTCTCTCAAGCATTTTTTTACTTTGCCCCATTATGCCTAAACTGACATTTGGCATCAATCAATGATCAAGATCTAAAGCAAAAATATCCTTGAGGTCAAAATAAATAGACTGTCCTGGCTCTAATGACATATTTCAGTTCTACTTTCTCTTTATTGCAGGGTTTCTCAACTGTGGCATTATACGCATCTTGGACCTGTTAATTCTTTGGTGTGGAGGGCTGTCCCGTGTGTTGTAGGATGTTTACCAGCATCCTGGGCCTCTACCCATTCGATGCCACTAGCACTCTCCCCCAGTGATAGTCAAAAATGTATATACAGTGCCAAATGTCACCTAGGGGACAAAATCGCCCCTTGTTGAGAATCACTGTAATGATTGTACCTGTTTGTGGTATAGCAGGGCATGACACATACTACTCTTTTTTCCCCAAACATAAAATCCTGATTATTTTTGCATTATAGGTAATAATCCACAGGATTAGCTCAATCCTGGGAGAAAGAAGTGCTATCACTTAACCGGTTTTTCAGACTTATTTCAGAAAACAAGATCTTTAAGAGGAGGCAAGAATGAAGTCTTCCAGCTTCAGAATATCCAGGTAGATATTTTCATAAATCTAGCCTGGAGCCGGTGGACATATCCTGAGGCAGGGGGAGAGATTTTAGATGATTTTAGATGTTAACAGTACTTTATTTGTGCCATTTTTACCTGTCTGGCAGTAAATCACAGCCTTGATCTCTCAGAATTCACTGCCAGAACTTCAGGCTTTAACTCCCTTCTCCCATCAAGATTGAAGTTGCAGAGAGAGAAGGGAGCTTGGTCATTAGTTGGGAATGTCACTCAAATGGAAGGGGAGAAGAAGGGTGTTGATACACACGTGTGTCAGATTAGCAGGGGTAGAAGAGATGGCTCCAGATGCCGAGGAAGCAGATGGAAGTGCACATGTTTGAAGGCTGGGCTTTGGGCCATCAGCTCCTGTCACTTGAGCTCCTTCTGCAAATGCAAACCCCGCTGCAGAGGTTACAGGTGAAAGGCCTTGTTTAAAACTCAACCGTATTTCTTGAATAGGTGTGTATTATACATCTTTCTGGCATAGAGATTCAGGAATGGGTGGAGAAGAGGAGGGAAGAAATTTAGCTAATTGAGCATATGATCTGTAATAAACACATATTTGATGAATGAATGAATGAATGAATGAATGAATGAATGAACAAATGAGCCTTTAGGGAAAAAAAGACCCCACTCACCCTGATGTTTAGTATAATGCTGTCAGGACAAAGCATTGTCCCATTGGCTGAGAAGATGGTCACAACCACTTTAACTTCCAAAGTTTTAGCCTCATGCAGGGTCTGTTCTGCACACAGTCATAGCAGTGGGATTTGAGGAGTTGATTGATGATCTCCTAGTTGTGCCTGGCTGTCTGCTTGTCCAAAAGGAGCTAACAACCAGTGCTGGGCTTGTGTGCAGAGGTCCACCACTCCACCAGCAGCACAAATGAGGCCCGCTCAGCCCAGGCGAGATCGCAGGCTCTGCTCTTGGCACTGTTCCTGGAAATGCAGAACAGGCTTCTTTATTCCAGTCTCCAGGCTTCTGGCTAGCAAGGAACACTGCCCGGCTGTGAAGCATTTTATAGGATTATAACGGGTTGTGCTGAAGGCGAATTCTGAAAGGCACTTTGTGCTGTTGCTTTGAGTGAAGCTGTTAGGGCAGTGTTGTTCCTAAGCCCATAAACACACACACATAGGCTGGATGGGGAATGCTGGGCTCCTGGGGCCGCTCAGCTGAGCAGCATTGCAGAATTGGACTGGCTTCCCTCCATTGTGACACCAGCCTCAGGGGCGGCTTGGGAACCCACCCTCCTGTAGAGCAGCCTGCTGACCAAGTCTTTGGTCATGGACATCCCTGGTTGGAATCCTAGGAGACTGAGCAAACCCCAATCTGCTAACGTTGAAGCAGTGCATCACACACAAGGCAGATTCTGAAGGTGGAAATTGCATGAGGTAAAAAATATCCTTGAAAAGCCTTTAAATGTCTGAAGGACCACATACATGGCTTGTGTATACCCAAAATTGCCACTTTCAACTTACAGGCCTTATTGTACCAAAATATATGTCTTTAAACATCAGAATCTTATTCATGGTGGTGAGACATTCAAGCTATGAGAAGCTGGGAGGCACTAAACCACCCAAAGGAAATACAGATTCCCATATTCCCTTTCATACTCATTTTGAGGCTTATGCTTTTTTCCCCCAGCATTATTTAAATTGTTACTGGCCATTAGTATTCTCTCTCTCTGTCTCCCTCTCCTCCTCTCTCCCTCCTTCTCTACTTCTCTCTGTCTCACTTTCTCTGCCTAGCATATATAGTGGGAAATAAATAAGTTTGCTGCACATATATTGTGCGGCCATGTATATTGATTGATTTTTATGGTTCCAAATCTTCTGAGGAGGGGCAAGAAAAATGTTTTAAGAGCAAGTGGATATGACAGCTTTTTTTGTCAGCCAATATGACTATTCCTTGCTCTAAAATAGTTGTACTTAAACTTGAGGTTCAAGTCCCCTCTCTTCCTTAGAATTTATTTATTACTGCACTAGGTTTATGGTATATCAGACTTCCTGCTTGGTCCTGAGAATCTTGCAGTGAGTAGCCTCGTCCCAGGGCTTTTGTAGTTTACCAGGGTCACTCTCTCCTTCACCAAGTGCTGGATGTACACTTTCCAACTGGAGGTCAAAGCCAAGCAAGATCTGCCAAGGAGCCAGGCCCACCCGTGAAGGAGCTGTTGCTGGCCAGAGCCACCTAGTTGAGGTGGTGGGCCTGCAAGGGCCAGAGGAGCAGGGTGAGGAAGGGAATGAATAACAAGCTCCAGGTGCTTCAGCTCAAATCCTCAGCAACCACGGGGAGCTCTGTGTGAGGCTTCTGGTGGCAGAATTAATCAGGGGCTGCTTTGATTGGTTGCCCTTGGAGCCAGAGTTCCCCTTGGCTCCACCCCCAAGTTTGGCCAGGCTTGCAGTGAGCATCTGTGTAAACTCCCCATCAGCACAGCTCGGACTCAAAGGACAAAGCTGTGTTCAGGAATACAGGCAGGAAAAAAATCAGTGGTCCTGAAGCACTTTTTCCCACCCTAGACTTCTTCAACCACTTCCTTCCCACTGCTTTAGGGCATCTATTTGAGGGAAAAAATTCAGGTGTTCTCTTCAATCTCCATTGGAACCCACTTACTCAGGAGCTTCCTTTACAAGGGTGGCAAGAGTGGGGCTGGCAGAAGTGGACCAGATTCTCTCTGCATCCAAAGGCAGTTTGTCCACACCAGCCGGGCAGAAAAGTGGTTGAATTTAGTGCCAGTGTGTGGGCTTGGTACCTGGGATGAAAGGGCTGTGTATCATGAGGTTTCCTGACTGGAAAGTGGGAACTGCTGGATTCTGGCCTCAGCTGGAGCAGAGAACACCAAAATAAGGACTAGATATTTCCATTCCCATTACCTCCTGCACACCTAGGAAGTCAAAACAAAAGATATCATCTCCCCAGACCACTACTTGCTGTGGCCATGACTTTGATAGGAAGGGAAAAAAATTCAACAGTGCTGTCTACAAAACAACTTTTGAGATAATGATCATTTTAATATTTAAAAAATTAGTATCTAATTTTCCAAGTCACACCTGAATATATTTTTCTTGTAAAAAAATTTAAGAACATTAGCTATAGATGTAAAGTCTCCTTTGTCCACTACCTTTAATCCTTTAGTCTCAGGTGCCCCCTAGCACCGAATGCCTCCCTTCATCCTAGTAAGAATTTGCTGTGGATATTTCAGATAGTTTTCGATGGTATTTACCTACATGTCCCTATAGAAAATATATGGTATTCATTTGTAGATATGTTTTTAACACAAATGGTATTATACTGTGCTTATGCTTCAATTATTTTTTAACTGAACCTAATACATTGGAGATCTTTCCATGCCACACCCACAAATCCATCTTCTTTTTGGCTGCAGCTGAGTGGTGTTCCATGGTGATAAGACTTTTAAGCACTCCTTATTGGTGAATATTACAGTTGTTTCCAGTTTGGGTTTGTATTTTTACAGTCCCAGACGGGGCTGCGGAGAATGATCTTATAAATTGCCTACTGGGCATTTACAGTGTGTTTCTCCAGCAAGGCATGGTACTGCTGGTTCATCACTGAACAGCTGTATCTTCCACACCCTGTCAAACTCCTCTTCTGAGTGGCACGCCGCCTCTTATCGGCCTCTTCATATGTAAAAATGGGCGCTGGGCGCAGAGGACAGGGTTCTAGGGATCTTTTTGGAAGTGGTGGAAATATTTTGTGTCGATTGTGGAGGTGGTTACTCGAGTTGTGTAAACCTGTTAACACTCAACTGTACAATTAAAATGGGCGCATTTTACTGTTTGTAGATTATATTCTTTTTTTTAATGTACGGGGAAAGACTAGCTAGGAATAAGACAAGACAGAATATTGCTTCTTTTTAATGTGGGCTTCTAAAACGCTTGTCTGCCCCACGAGGCCGCTTCCCTCCGCCCTGCTTTTGCCCGGGGCCTCCCGTCTACCCGCCGCCCGGCTTCGCCCAGCCTCCGTTCTACCTGCCGCCTCTTCCACCCCGAGAGTGCCCGGGAGCCCGAGTGCGGCTGCCACTGGGCGGGGCGGTTTCGCAGTCGCGTCCCCCGAGCCAGTGGACCCGAGCCGGGGGCCGGCGGAAGGAAGGGCTGCGCAGCGGGAACGACCCTCGCCGCTTGGAGGGGCTTCCGCGGGGCGGCACCTGTGCACTCCTGATACTCGTAAGGGCGGGGCTTGGTCGGCGCTCCGGCCACGCTCCGCCCAAGGTGGGCTGTTCCAGTCGAGGCTCCGCCCCCTGTCTGCCGGAGCGCCGGAGTCGCGTCTTGCAAGGCTAGAAGCTGGCTGTCAGTCTCCGTGTAGCCGCAGCCGCCAGGCACCGTGGAGCTGGGGCCCCCATTCGCCTGGGAGTTTTGCGGTCGCATTGGGTCAGCGGTGACATCCGAAGGGGCAGGCCCGGCAGCCGCCATGGTGGCCAAGGATTACCCCTTCTACCTCACGGTCAAAAGAGCAAACTACAGCCTGGAGGTACCCCCGGCGAGCAGCCCAGCCAAGGACGCAGAGGTAGGGCCTCCACCTGGACCTCTCCGGTCCGTCTTTCACTCTCTTCATCTCTTACTCTCTCGACTCTCTCCCGGTGTCACTATCTCTCCATCTCTCACACACTCTCTCTGTCTCTGTGTCTCCATCTGTAACTCTGTCTGCCTCCCTCCCACCCACCCCTTCTCTGTGGCTCAAGTGTGAGCCACCTCGTCTGTCCGCGTCTTTCTCCCTTCCAGCCTGGGGTCAGCAACCTCTGCCCCTGCCTCTCTGTCTCTCTCATGCGTCCTGCATGGCCCTCAGACTGTCCATCTTCCGTCTAGACTTGGCAAAGGGACTTATCTCCTACTGCATCGTTGGGCTCAGTCACAAAGGAAGAGCTACCCTTTAAGCGTAGGTTTCCTCTTGCCTGGGCCAGGGGAACAGTGGGACGTTCTTGGGGACCCCTTGGGACATCTCACCTGTCAGGTTTGGACTTGCAGCTGTTTGGCAGCAAAAACAGGACGCAGCACCTCTGTTTGTCACCTGTGGCCAGTGGGGGTCATTCAGCTGGGGGCCTGAGGGCTAAATAAGTAATCTGAGTGTCTCCCACTTGGATTCTGAAAATGAATTAAATTCCTTGGGGCAGTGGGAAGCTGTCTTGGAACACTGGAAACGTTTATCTTTCTGGGAACTTTCCTATGCCTTGAGGGTGATGTGAGGGAGCCCTCCTGGCTTGTGTTTAGTCTGCCTTTTCCTCCTATGTGTTATATCTCTGGCAAAGAGCTCACGGGCCTTAAAGATTGGATTCAGCTGGAGGAGAAAATGTCTCTTTCTTTGAGGGTCTTAGGGAATGCAGTTGCTTGCATTAGACTGCAGCTTTGCTGTGGCTCAGCAGTAGTGGAACCCACAGAACACAGCTCATCATTTCCGCTCGTGTGTATCTGGGAGATCTCCACTCCCCAACCACGAATGGGAGAATCTGGAGGCTGGTGTTCTTGGGGGTCCACCCACCTGCCACCCGTGGGTTTGCTCAGCTGTGTGCACTTGCTTCACTGAATTATGTATATTCAGGAGAACAGCATCAAAGATTCATTGCCTCTAACAAGAGCTGCTCCAAGCTGACAAGACTCCAAACAGTCTCCGGTTGTAATCGGCTTTCTGTAAGCTGAGTGCAAACTAACTTCTCACCCCCACCCCCACCCCACACCTCTGTTCAGTTGAGTATTTTCACAAAGAGTTTTTGTTCCCAGCGGCTGTGGCAGTGTGATGGCCTTAGTGGTGTTTGGACTCTTATTTAAGTTTTGATGGGACAACACCTGCATTAGAATTCAGGTTGTTCAGGCTTGGAATGGGTTTATGATTTTTCCATGGGAACTTCATAATTTAATGAATGTAGGAGCAGTAGTGTCCCCTCAAACTCCTTTTGGAAGGAAACAAAGCCTAATGTAGTTTAATCAATAAATTGGATTGGGTCAAATAAAGAATAGTGAGAATAGCTCTGGATTCTAAATAATTCTAAACCTCTGGATTCTAAATAATATCATTTGGTCCTGTATTTTTGTGTAGTTTGGTTAAAGGATTAGGTTAAACCTATCTGTTTAATCTTTTCTTATTTTTAGAATGTAAATATATATATATTTATATATTTATAAAACTGTGATAAGGGAAATGTATCAACAGATGTCAAATATTGATTTTCTTCATAGTAGCTGGATCCAGATTATAAAATGTGACTTATTTTCCTTTTATGGAGATGTCCTGGTGTGGAAGTAAGGTTGGGAGAACAATTTTCAAGTTCATAAATATTTTTCAGGTGTCACCAATTGAGGAATTTTCCCCCTAGTGTTTAAATCAGAATAGAAGTATCTCTTATGCTCTATACACCTTGAGTCAGAGGTGTCCAGTCTAGTACATCTCCAGGCATATCGCTTCCTGATAATGGTAACAGTTGGAAAAAGAAACCTAAGTGAGTTTGGGGGCTAGTTTTCTGTTTCATTATCAGCTCAAAAGACAGCCGGCCCTTGTAGACTTCACTTCTCCATCGGCAGTTAACTGAAATATATGTTCTACCAGCAGGTGTCGTCAGCATTTCTAAGTGTTTAAAAAACAGCATATACTAGTTGCCCTTTTGAAAAACATTGTTTATAAGCTAGGCATTAACTATTAATTCCAGTGGAAGTATTTTTTAAGATAATTTTCTTTGCATAAAGAATGTGACTGTGGGAAAAAGAAGGTTTGATCTATCCAAAGTCCTTTTTGACCTTCAAAGGCAGTTGCAGCAAAGCACCTGTGCCCTTTAGACACATAATGGCTGTTCCTTCGGAATTTGCTGTAAGGAAGACAGTGGGCACAGTGCCGCATGGGAAGTGCCTTCTAGCATTTGTTCCTGTCCTCGCAGCAAACATGATGGGCAAGGCCACTTAGGGAAAGGCTCATGGGGAAGGGGCCATTGTCACTGATGTGTATTTGATAGCATACACTTGAGTAAAAATATACAACAATAAACATTTTCTTAAAAGCAAATCATAGGAAGATTTCTGCTCAGGATTTAAAGGCTTTGTAAATTTCAAGGATAGTTTTTAGTGAAAGAAAAAAATGGTATATTTAACATTTTTATTTTCTTTATTTTAAACATTAAAACTATTCTACATGGATTATGTTATTACTACAGTGTGGCTTCTTAATCTAGTATTTCTTATGACATGGCTATATGGAATTGAGTTGCAGATGTTTAATTTTAATACCCATAATCAACTAGATCCTTCCGGCTCTAATCATTAACCATGAAATCTCAGGAGCTTAGTCCATCTTAGTCCGTAGCTCCAGATTTTCACAGAGAAACATGGTATCACATGAGCATCATTAAGCTTATTTCTTCTGATTCACTGATGCAGCTTTGCTCGATTGATCTTTGTTTTTATATTTATTGGATGCTTCCTTCCCAAGCCAAGAGGGACTGGTTCTTCTAGGTTATTAGGTGCTCTGAACACCTGATCGAGTCACTCAAAGAAAAGCTGTTAGTGCCAACGAATTACAGTGATTCTAAGTTGAAAGTCACTATTTTCCCGTGGTGAGGTTTGCTTTCAAAGAAAGAAGGCTCAAATGAGTATAAACCTTGGCTAAGGATGCTGGAGCCCAGTGAGAAGGTTTTAAGAGTTTAGGGTCCATTTAATGAAAATACAAAGTAGTGTTTCTATTATTTTCTGTCCAAGAACATATCTGACAATTTGATGGACAACTCACTTTTAGTTTTAAGAGTCAGTATCTCAGATATTGGTCAAGATTAGGCCAAAATGAATTAGTGGTATTCATTGTAGTCATTGTCTTTTGTCTCTCTCTTGTATGTCTCTCACTTGCCTCTTTGAATATATTCTAACTTTGGCTCAGCCAGTAGCCTTATGTGGAACCTTGAAGTGACCTAGAAATGATGGAATTCTATTGTTTTTCTAAGTACCACATCTAATCTCTTACTTGAGAACCCAACCATGTTGTAAGGTTAACATAAAGCATGAAGTATTCTCCCCACTTTATGAATAAAGACACTGAGGGGAAATGACTTGCAGAAAGCCACCAAGAAAATCAGCAGCTGAGCCAAGATCCAATGCCAGGTTTCCTGGCGGATTTAGCCTAGCATTTAGTACCAGTGAACCTTGTGGCATCTAAGGATGTTTACCTCTGTGAAGAAAAAGTGGGGGGAATGCAAAACAAAACAGACATGTAAAATGCTTTAAGATATTTTATTTTAAATATATAATCTTGAGCATGTTATTAACTGAAGAGGTACCTCTCAAACTTCAGTTCTAAAGGGCAAGGTGAACTGTATGCCCCATCATAATTTATCCCCCATTCAGCCCACAGGTGTATTTGAAAACTTCAAGTACTTGGGACTGTATTCCTTGCATGCCAGCTGGAGACCTAAAGGGGTCAGCTGATTTCCAGTAATTTATACACTTCTTGGAATTTGTATCATATAATGTTAAACTGACCATATATATAACCAACTACATGGAAGTAGTTCCAAGGAGTTTTTGCAGTAGAATCCTGGAATTTTATCAGATGATTAAATAGACTACGTGAATCATGTGACCTCAGATATTGCTGGGTAGGGAGCCTCATGGTTGGTAAATGGCTGTCACTTGCTGATAGGATCTGGGTATGGTCATTGGCCATGATTCTGAGGCTTGTTCAGATGGAACCGTATCTTGGGGGTCTTGGTCCTCCAGGATGCACATGGACAGGTTTATTAGAGAAAAATATGTTGACATGTGTACATTTGAAGCTGTTCATAGCATCAACTCTGAAATAAGACTGCCCAGGTCCTAATGCCTTATCCACCACCTGCTAGTAATATGCCTTGGACAATATGCTGTGTTTTTCTCTAAGCCTTAGTTTCCTCGGTGGTAAAATGGGCATGATGAAGGCTCTACCATAGTGTGATGATTCATGTACAGTGCTTAGTGCATGGTCACTGCTCAGTAAACTGCATCATCATTAAGATCTGCATCTCAAAAAGATTTCTAAAACAGTGTTAAGAAACATGTCCAACGTCCTAATTTCCTGAATGCTGTTTTATACACATCAGCACAATAAGAGCCTTACTGTAAGTCCTCTAATCATCCTTCCAACAATCTGCTGAGGTTGGTTTAACTGCCCCTTTTTGTAGAAGAAACTGAGGCTCAGAGCTGGGTAGTGGCCCTTCCAGGATAGCTGAGCTGGTAGGTGAAGGAGCCAGTTCTCACACCCGAGTCTGACCCTGAAGTCTGTACTTTCCCAACCACATCACATTGCCTCTAAATGACTAAATCACTGGTCTTCTCACCACATAACACATGAAGAGTGAACCCGGCTGCCACAGCAAACTGCCTCATGGTCAGAGGCCCATTTTTTCCTGAGTGTCTGGATGGGAGACCCCGCCATTAGTCAATGCTGCTGGCAGCCACTTCATAGAATGGCTGCGACCCACAGGAGTGGGGTTTGCAAGCCTCTGTTTGGGAGGGTTTCGTTAACTTCCGTTTTGTGTTTCTCAAGACCAAGGAGCTGGT